CTCACAGATTTCTTCGCAGAAGTGTTCTTCTTAAAATCTTATTTCCCTGCATCCGTCTAGCCAGTCCTCCACACAGAAACGCAGACAGCTGTCAAGACGGAAAGCAAATCTTCAAAACGACACCAATGAAAACCTGGCGGACTCTCCCCAGAAGCCCTTTGATTGAAGGAAGCCCCTGAGGAAAGACGGAGACAGATTCCTGAAACATCGCAAAATGAACTGGAGTCTTCTGCCCACCTGTATTTTCACCTAGCCCAAGCTTTCTTGGACCGGAAACCTCCGGAATGAACTCCTCGGAGCCTACCGATGCCTCCTCCGTTCATTCTCAACCAACGTTGCCCTCCTCAGACAGTCTGAACGAGAAATCTCGCAATCCCTCCTGTGGGCACCAAAGAGAGAAGGTCTTTCTTCTTGGTAGCCCACAAGAACGTCAAGAGACTCCTTTCAGTCCCTGGAGAGAGACCAGAAACTCTGGTAAGATCTCCCTCCTGTTCCAGAGTGGTGACTGTAGGACGCCTGGGTTTTTCAGGGAGGCATTCCCCTCCCTGCCTCCCTTTGAATAACGATTTCTTTAAAAGGCTTAAAAAAAAAAATACAGCTAGCAGCTAGCAGAGAGTTTGCTAAGGAAGATGGGAGGAGGAGAATGGGGCGGGGGAAAGCCAAGGGGAAGGGGGGGGGGAGAGACTTGGCAGGCAACCGGCACTGGGCTTCAGTCAGCATCCCCTTTTTCCACGTTCTTTCCTCCCTTTGTGCAACACCCCCTTTCCTCCTCCAGACCACCCAAAGCCCTATAAATAAGCCGGAGCACTCAGCTCCTTCCCCAGACTCCAGCCAGGCGGAGAAGAGAAGAAAGGCGGAGGGGAGAAGAGAGGCAGAGGGGGAGGAAGGCAGAGAGACCCAGGAGAGAAGAAGGGAAAAACCAGGAAAGAGAAGACAAGTCCAGAGGAGTCGCCGGCAAGCGGGAGGAGGAAGCCACCATGGCCAGCGAATTCAAGAAGAAGGTCTTCTGGCGGGCGGTGGTGGCCGAGTTCTTCGCCATGACCCTCTTCATCTTCATCAGCATCGGCTCGGCCTTGGGCTTCATGTTCCCCGTGGGGAAGAACCAGACCCGCGCCCAGGACAACGTGAAGGTCTCGCTGGCCTTCGGGCTCTCCATCGCCACCATGGCCCAGAGCGTGGGCCACATAAGCGGGGCCCACCTGAACCCGGCCGTCACCCTGGGCCTCCTCCTCAGCTGCCAGATCAGCGTCTTCCGGGCTGTTATGTACGTCGTTGCCCAGTGCCTGGGCGCCATCGTGGCCACGGCGATCCTTTCGGGAGTCACCAACTCTCTGGAGGACAACTCCCTCGGCCTCAACACGGTAAGGTGGCGTCAAAGCCTTCCTCCCCTAACCCTTTTCTTCTCCTTTTGTGTGCCCTAGATTGGAACTCAGGGCTTCCAACCTAGCGGCTGAATCTCTCCAAGCTGTCACTCAGACCTGGTTGTGTTCGGTGTGGTCTTTCGGGGCGCTTGGGTGGAAATGGACCGCGTGGCCGTTGGCTGCTGGGAAGCCAGGGTCCAAAGTCATCCGAAGTTTCTTCCATCAGAGAAGTGGAGGTTGCAGTATCAGAGAGAGAGAGAGAGAGCATGGGCAAAGCAGGATGGCTGGATAAAACTCAAGGCTGCCAACTTCTTTTCTGAGAGGGCTTCTGGGCAGGGTGACAGGCAGAAATTCAGCAGGGGGAGCTTTTTCCCCGAGCTGCGTGAGAGCAGAGAACAGAGCCAGTGACGGCAGTCATTTTGTGGAAAGTGTCATCAAGTCTCGACTGGCTTACACTGACTTACATAAGTTTTGGTGTAGTGGTGAGGAGTACGGACTCCACTCTGGGAGAACCGGGTTTGACTCCCCACGCCTCCACATGCAGCTGCTGGTGTGACTTTGGGCCAGTCACAAGCTATCTCAGCGCTGTTCTCTCAAGAGCAGTCCTCGGGAGAGCTCTCTCAGCCCCACCTCCCTCACAGGGTGTGGGGAGGGAAAGGGAAGGAGACTGTAAGCCATTCAGAGTCTCTTTTAGGTAGTGAAGTATAAATCCAATCTCCTTTTCCTCCTCCTCCTCCTCAAGGCTAGAAACATTCAGAGATGGTTTGCTATTACCTGCCTCTACATAGAGACCCTATGGAGCTGGGGTGGCTCAAGTGGTTAAGACGCTGAACTGCAGGCTGTGGAAGGTCGGTAGTTCAGCAGTTCGAGACCCGGGTGTGCCGCATGACGGAGTGAGCTCCCGTCTCTAGTTCCAGCTCCTGCCAACCTAGCAGTTCGAAAGCAAGAAATTGCAAGTAGATAAAGAGGCACCGCTTCGGTGGGAAGGTAACAGCATTCCGTGCGCCTTGGTGTTTAGTCATGCCGGCCACATGACCACGGAGACATCTTCGGACAGCGCTGGCTCTTCGGCTTGGAAACGGAGATGAGCACCGCAACCCTTGAGTTGGACTCGACTGGCTTTCGAGCAAGGGAACCTTTACCTTTACTTTACATAGAGACGCTAATATTCCTTGGAGGTCTCCCATCCAAATACTAGCTAGGGCTGACCCTGCTTAG